TACTTAAAGGACCAGGGGACCTAATTTTGTCAGCTTTCCAGTCACGTTGGTGCCATTCAGGACTCAAGCTGTTTACAGGAAATAGGTACTTAGCAAAGCAGTATTTTTCCTTGAAAAAATTTGAATTCGGCTTAAATACAGAATAAATATGGATAGCTTGTGAAAAGGATTAGAGAATAATATTCCTGTAGTTTCTGTATTAATGCAGTAGAGACAGAGGTTCCTGATGCGAAAAGCCACAAATAAAGACTGTCAAATTAGAACTTTAGAATATGACTTGAAAAATTAGTAGGGATGAGCAAAACAGCATTAAAAATATTTTTCTTATTGAAGATGGACAGTGTTTTCTTGTTTTAAAATGTTTTGCCTATTTGCCAGCATTTTTTAACGTTAATGCACTGCTGCTACCTGGAAGATGTCTAATTTCATTTTCTACAATTACGTGATTTTGCCATTGTCATTAAGATGCATTGATTTTATTTATGAGGTGTATGATTTTAAATATCTAAATGCTGTATTAAGTGACTTGTTTCAAAAGAATAAATGAAGTGAAAACGTTGTTTGAGTATATTTTGGGATCCGGGCAGAGGGCCAGTGAACAGCTATTTTACTCAAGTTGCATATTTGTTATTAAAAGCTGTTAGACTGCATCTTTGACTAAGGTACCAAAATCTACCAAATATCACCCTTTAGGTGGACTCAAAGAATGAGATAGGAGAAACTAAGGTACTTCTCCTTAACACCGAAAGGCATGCAAAATTCCCATTCATTAACTAAAATTTTTTTCTAAATCAAATCCTGCAAGTTGTAATTCAATGTTTGTTGCTGACAAATTGTCAATGTGGAAAGGCTTAATATTTCTTTTATAATAGACTGCAGTCTTTGTGAACTTAGATGAACTTAGTGAACTTTGTGAACTTAGTCTTTTATAATAGACTGCAGTCTTTGTGAACTTGAAAACAATACATTTAAACATGTATTTGAAGCAACACTGGGGCTATTAGAATTGGCCAGAGTTAGGTCCCCTAACTAAACTGAACTACTTACCCATTCTTTCTCATTGAAAGCTTACAAATTATGTAGGTGGAACTGTAATAACATCAATTTGTACAGCAGCATAAAATACATCTTTGGGGGTCAGTATGCATCCAACATAAGAATAAGCCAAGCCAAACCTCAGATCACAAGGGTCATAACTGTGTGAGTCATGTGATGGTAGCTTATTGAATAATTAATTGTGCCCATAAAGCAATGCTTCTCAAAGTTATCACATTACCTGGGAACTTGTTAGAAATGCAAATGTTCAGAAGGAAATCAGAAATTGATGAGACCCAACAATCAATAAGCCCACCAGGCGATTCTAATGCATGATAAAAAAAAAAAAAAAAAAAAAAGCTTGGGAATCATGACCATCACCATCGTTGTTCAAATGAACCATTAATCACTTGGGAGAGATCTCTGAGGGTTTATACCAGTTTTGTGTCCTTAGCTTCACATGCGATTCATTGTCATTCACTACTTAACGATAGTTATTAAATTTATAGATAATGTAAATCCAGAGAAGACTGGTAGAACAATGAATGACAATTCAAAAATCTCAACAAGCTGAAAAACCCTAACATTGAATACTCCTAAATATGAAGTCCTGGCCTTGAATTCTAAATCCATTATGTGAGTCCAGCATGGGGGAAAACCTGGCTTTATAGTTGATTTGACAAAAGGTGTAGCAATGGCACTTAATTCTAATTCTGATCCCAATAAAGTACTATGGCTTAGGCTGCAAAAATAGTGCCATCTTAATACTTGAAAGAGCAGAAAAAAAGGAAGCAGTAGTCTTAATGTTGGTCATGTTGCATTGGAGGTTTGAATGTGGGTTTTGCATGTGAAATGTGGTGAAAAACAGGTTTGATGGCCATCGTGGAGGCTGAAGAAATGAGGAAAACAAAAAGAAACAGATTGACATGGTAGCTAACTTCCAATTTTGGGAAATGTATAAAAGATGAATTAGATTTATTCTCTGAGGCCCTAGAGGAAAGAACTCAGACTAAAAAAGGATGAATGTTGTTGCAAAGTAAAATTACATTAAAAACCTAACAAGAATGAAAAGGGATACCATAATATCAAAAAAAATAAGTAATGGAGGTGTTCTTTTGCATTATGAGAAACAGTGATAAAAGTCATTAGGTCCCTGCCATCTTAAAAAAAAAAAAAAAAAATCTGTCTTACAGATGCTGGAGAGGATGTGAGAAATAGGAATGCTTTTACATTGTTGGTGGGAGTGTAAATTAGTTCAACCATTGTGGAAGATAGTGTGGCAATTCCTCAAGGATCTAAAACCAGAAATACCATTTGACCCAGTAATCTCATTACTGGGTATATACTCAAAGGATTATAAATCATTCAACTATAAAGACACATGCACATGTTTGTTTACTGCAGCACTGTTTGCAACAGCAAAGACCTGGAACCAACCCAAATGCCCATCAATGTTAGATTGGATAAAGAAAATGTGGCACGTATACACCATGGAATACTGTGCAGCCATAAAAAATGAATGAGTTCATGTCCTTTGCGGGGACATGGATGAAACTGGAAACCATCATTCTCAGCAAACTAACACAGAAACAGAAAACCAAACGTCGAATGTTCTCATAAGTGGGAGTTGAACAATGGGAACATATGGGCACAGGGAGGGGAACATCACACACCGGGGCCTGTCGGGGGCTGGGAGGCATGGGGAAGGATAGTTTTTGGATAAATACCTGATGTAGATGATGGGGTGATGGATGCAGCAAAGCACCATGACACATTTATACCTATGTAACAAACCTGCACATTCTGTAGATTTATCCCAGAACTTAAAGTATAATAAAAAAAAAATGTTTTAAATGCTAGTTATATGATAACTACAAAAAGAAAAATGTAGTATTTCTGTCCTCTTTGCCATCCAATTAAAGCTTGAAAAAGAGTGGCTTGTGCTCTTAGTTATGCGGCGAAGGCTGCAAAGCAGTACTTACATTTTTGGCAAAGTGTATATACTTATTGCATGAGTAAGTATCTATGCTTATCTTATGTCTCTATGCCTGAATGAGACATTCAAGAATGGAAAAGCAGGCATTTCAAATATATTTTCTATTTTGTTCTGACTTGGGTTGTCTTTGTCTCTATTTTGTTTATAAATCTTGAGGATATTTACCAGATGAAAACAAGGCACAAATGTATTTCTCTAAACTCATTGAAACTTTTATGATTTCCTCATTTGTGTTTTAAAATTCAAGAATTTCTAAGAAACTATTAATAGCTCTCAGAGAATGAATAGTCTTCTCTTTCTTTGCTTTACTAGCTGCCACTCTTAACTTCTCTGCCCTCTTGACCTCCTAGAATTCCTTCCATACACAAAGTGGAGTTTTCTGATCTGATTCCCATGGCATTTCTCTGTATTCAATTGGAGGACTTCATTAGTGAATCTTAAGGTATTGGACCACATGTCATAATGACTTGGCCATGTTCCAAAACCCTAAAGATGGTTCTCTTGAATCATTGCAGTAAGCTAAAAAACGATTAATCTGGAGTTGTTTGGAGTTGCTGCTGACTCAGGAGTCTGGTTTGAAATCCATACCAAAGTTAAGTAGAAAATATAGACAAAATTATTCCTGATAACCCTTACCTCTCTCATAGAGTGTACAGACATCACCATAACTTTGTAAGCCCCACACCAGTGATGGAAGAGTTCATGCCCACTCATGTGGTGCCTGCCACTCTCTGAGGTTCAACCTGCAGTGAGTGTGGTTCACTAGAGCACATCCATTGGTGGACCCTGGACTCCAATCCCTGTGCCTCTTGTTCTGTTAAGCTGTCAGAAACACCATTCGACCTCTCAGCATCTCAGCCACCCATTCTGGAAAATGATGTCTCCAGAGGAAAAGTGGCTGGCCTCAGATGTTGGACACAACACACCAGACCTCTGTACTCACCTTGATCAAGGCCTGTGTTGTTAGTGCCTACCAAATTCTTCAATATCTTTTTGGCTCTCCACTGCAAACAGCAGGAGAGTTTGTCTGAATTACCTAGTCCAGCATCCCTGGAAGTGGAAGTCCTTAGCAGCACCTTTCCTATGATAATCAAGAAACCACTACCATAAAATCTTTTTTTTTTTTTAAAGATGTACTCTTGGAAATATCATGTATGAAACAAATGATGTAATAATTTTTCTGTCAACAATGGAGGGAAGAAGAGGTTAGTAAGAATTTGTCAGGGTTTATTTAGAACTGTCCAATGGGAAAAGGCACTTTATCAAGTAACCATGAATATTTTTCTAACACAGTTCATTTCCATTCTGTTGGATATTTACATTGAATTAAATAGAGATATCATTTCTTATGGAATAACAATCAATTTTTAGAGCCTATTATGCAGGAAATTTCACAAAATTACTCTTTCTAATTATGGACAAAATTTTATAGTTATTAGAATTCCAAACTTTCTTCCACTATGACTTAACTGTTTTGTATTGGGGTTGATAAATCTTTCTCCAACAAATTGTATTGAATTGAATTACTTCTCCCAGAGCTTTAATATTATGGAGTTAATTGATCAAATTGAGTTTTTCAATCTACAAAACTAAGGAGCAGATTTTGCATTATGTTGACATACTGCCAAAGTTACCCTCTTTACCACATCCTTTCACATCCAAAGATATAGCCTTGTTTTTCTTACTCTTACAACAAAGACCAAGAAAGTGATCTTGAATTTGGCTTGAAACAGCTAAACTAATAATTTATCTCTGAAGATTGTTAAATGGTTTAACAAATCCTTATTGAGCTTTTACTTATTGCAAAATATGGTGTCAAATACCTCAAGATTGCAACAATATTAATTCAGTTAATAAACATTTTTGAATGCTAATGTCATACCAGGAACTTCCCTAGGTGGTGGGTATACATTGAAGGGAAAAAAAACAAAACAACACTTTGAAGAAATAAAAATACAAGTGCTATGAGATCCTTTTGCAGTTCATAAGTGTGATGGTCGGGGTGTTGCCCTCATGTGTGAGATGTGATGACTGAGCCTTGTTATGACGTCAGCACATTACCTGGCTGATGTCAAAAATAAATACAGATGCTATGAAAAGAATAATTGGATTGGAAAATTGGATTAAAATTGATGAACCTGGGAAACACTTTGAGAAGATGACATTTAAGCTGAAATCTGAAGCATGAATAAGAACTAATCAGTTGAAAAATAAAAATAGAGAGTATAGCATTTGCAAACATGATGTTGCAGGAGGAAATGAAATATTTTTCAGACTAGTCTGGTCATAGTATGATAAACAGGGGAAGGGGACATGAGATAAAGTATTAGAAGCAGGCAAGGATCCAGATTTGCGGCATCTATAAGTGATATTAAGCATTTACTCTAATTCATATTTATCAGGTTTTATTTGCTTATTTTATATTTGTGCCCATAATTCATTTATAAACCCCACGAGGGCAGGGACTAGCTGTGTCTTTCATTATTGTTGTATTCCCAACACCTAATAAGGGGCTGGATATATAGTAGACATTCAATATATAGTTGAATGAATAAACATGTGAATGAATGAAGTCAACAAAATTTATTCCTGTAAAGGAATAAAGTTATCCTAAGATCATTGGGAGGATAGTCAAGCATTTTAAGGAAGACATCAGAGTGATGTTCCTCGAATTTTACTTTAACTGCCCTGTGGAGAAGAGATTGAAGGGGTGAGAGTGGAAGTGGAGGACCAGTGAGAAGGAGGCTACTACAGTAACATATGGAAGTGATAGTAAGCTTTATCATAGTTAGCATTTATTGAGTGCTTACAGTATTCTCACCATTCCTCATGTATTATCCATGTAATCTTCACAATAACTCTATAAGTTATTAGCTAATAAGTGAAGGATGGCTTGGGCCAGGTAGATGTCAAGAGAAGAGGTTAGATGTAAAATATAATTTGGAGTAGGATCTCCAAGACTTGGTGATGGGGAATAATATTTACCCCATCAACTGGTCGGAAAAAGTGACATTTACTGATTCATGGAAGATGAAGGGGGGAAGTATTTGGAGAGAATAGAGAAAAAAAGAGTTAAGACATGTTGAGTTTGAGATGTTCGTGAATCATATGAAAGCAGAGATCATGTAGGTATCTATAGGTATGAAGTTCAAAAGATGTATCTAAAGACAAAGATCTAAATTTTGGATTCATTGCCCTATAGATAAAAAATATGTGAATGGAAGAGAGCAAATAGAGAGAGTGTATATAGGGAGAAAGACTCAGAACCAAACTGCAAGTAACTCCCAACATTTAGGAGCCAGGTAACGGAAGAAGAACCAGCATTTAGAAGTCAGTTGAAGAAAGAGCCACCAAGGATAACTGAGGGTTCAGGAGAGATTAAAGAAGCAAGAGAATTTTATGTCATGAAATTCAAGAGAAAATAGTTTTTTTAAGAAGCTGAAAGTGGCCAGCTGTGTTGGATGTTATGGAAAAATCAAGTTGGGGGCCATACAGGGTGACCCATGCCTGTAACCCCAGCACTTTGGGAGGCCAAGGCAGGCAGATCACCTGAGCTCAGGAGTTCAAGACCAGCCTGACCTACATGGAGAAACACTGTCTCTACTAAAAAAATACAAAATTAGCTGGGCTTGATGGTGCATGCCTGTAAATTCAGCTACTCCAGAGGCTGAAGCAGAAGAACCACTTGAACCTGAGAGGCAGAGATTGCAGTGAACCAAGATTGCACCATTGCACTCCAGCCTGGGCAACAACAGCAAAACTCC